CCCCAAAACCCCAAAACCCCAAAACCCCAAAACCCCAAAACCCCTTTTTAATTTTTTTTGATTGAAATTAATTCAAACTCTAACAAGCTGCTGGTCCTGGATATCCTTTGATTTTGTATTCCTAAAGATGAGCATTAACTTACTCTGTACCATCTCCCAAGCTCGTATTGGCCAATTCAAAACCATGCGAGATATAAGTACCGAAGCAAGTGCTGAGGTTGTCTGAACCTGAAGCCATCGTTGTCATCTTCGATCATCTGCAACAAAAGAGCCTCCTCTGTTTGTCTGGATGCTGAAGCACTCATCACAAGTTTGCCATGGTTGCCTAAACATTAAGCCATAAGTACTTGTCATGGTTCCGTCCTTGTCCATTTTAAGGCCTTTGTAGCCCTTGGTCATTCTTTCTCTGAAGACGGAGTCTCTCACTTTGACCCATTCCTACACTTAACTCACAGGCTTACCTTGAGAACTTCATGAGCCTCCTGGAGCTGTCTGAAGCGGGCTTCCATTTTCTTTTCGTGCTTAGTGTTTCTGTGCATGTCTGGGTGATAAATCTTGGCCAGTTTGTGATACTGAGCCTTCAAACTACTCGGAGCCACATTCTTAGGCAGGTTCATCAGTGTCAAAGAGTTCCTGACTCTGTGGTCAATTGCAAATCGAGATCGAGCTGAAGTGAGAAACAGCAAACTTACTCTGAGAAGTGTCTCTGGTCCAAGTTCTGCTTCGATGATTTTCGGAACTTTTGTCACTAAGGTTGTTGGCGGTCTTTCGGTGATGTGAAGCATTATTCTGTTTACTTTTCTCTTTGCTTCTTTACGAATTCATCAAAATAGCTCTGCCTCTCTGCTTTATTTGGTTGCAAATGAATTCGATCTAATGTAAATTAATTGTCTGGTCAACCTAAATACAAATAAGAATTGACTCAAGTGGTTGCAAAGGTAAATATTATCAAAGCTGGCAACATAAAATGTTTGTAACATTCTAAGAAATATGACTCAAGGTCAAATTACTTGGTAGGGTTTGTAGTTTGTCTCAGAAAGATTTTAGATAGCATCATATTTTGTCTCAAAATATTTTATATGTTGTTCTTAATTTAGCAAGCTATATTATTATTAAAGGGGTTTTGGGGTTTTGGGGTTTTGGGGTTTTGGGG